CACTTTCCCCTAGTGCAGCGGGTTGCCATTGTTGTCTTGTCTACAGAACTGCGAGTTAGTTCGCACTTGTCGATAAACCACATCTTACTCGTTTCAAGGGCATCTAGTTGGGTCGCAATCTTTCCGAACAGTTATCGTCTTCCCTCCGAACTTCTGTCTTTCCTATCCTTCACCCGATTGTTGTGACTTCGTGTGCATTTCGAACACTCATCTCTTACGTCCTTTTCGTCCTCCATTTCGTTAAGTCCGAGTTAGTTCGCACTTCGCTTCTATAGTGGTCTGGGGTTGGGCGTATTAGTGATCCGAGTTGGTCTGAGGTTGGGCGTGCTAGTCAACGGGTGGGAATACAATGGTGTCCGCAAAGAACACATCCACAAGCGCTGGACCATCTGCCCCCGGGGAGGGATGACCTGTACAGCAACCTACTCCTCCGTATATGCACGCAAAGGGAGCACAATGGTTTTTGGACTTCGTTGTTCAGGGGGACCTTTTTGGGCCAGCTGTTTTCATGCGACCCACTTGCGTTACAGACGGTAGGGGAGCGGTCAACGTTGTTCCTCTCGGTACCGTCGTCTCGTGCGCGAAGACTTCTGGAGGTTTGCTCAAGCTGAACACTAACGGCTTGTACGACGAGTGCAGACTGCCTATCAGAGGTGTTAAAGGTGTGCTGGTGACCATCAAGAGTTTCCCGGGGTACGGCTCGAACATGCCGTTGTGCTCTCACTTCAAAGGCCTTTACGATGGTGGCAGCAAGCGTCTATCATCGCCAGAGCAATATCTCGATCTCGCGCTAATGGTGCTCAGAGAACGTCCAGTTCTTCCGCCAGAGCATGTTTTCCGGCTTCTGCCACCCCGTGACGGGTCGTCCGGCTTGGCTCAAGAAACTCCAGGTACGGCAGTAGGGCGCGGGAGTCCGATTCAAGACGTAGGGGGTCGGGTCAAGGGACGCAGCGTTCACACGCAGGTCGGCCCGGATGGTCCTAGGAACACGTCGGACTTGCATTCTCTGGGTATAGGGACTCAACGGGTCGGTACTCCGAAACTTATCAAGGTCCGTTGCGGCGCCGACACGTATTCGCTTCGAGATGAGACGAGAAGAGACTCAAGTAGATCAGGGCTAGATGTTGGAGGGAATGAGGCTAAAGGGATGGGCGTTGTCCGCGAAAGCTCTGGCGGGGAGCAGACTCCTTCGGAGAAGAAGAGCGAGTGACAGAGGATGGTGCGAGAGGAGGTGGCGGAAGAAACCCTCCGCATGAAGAGGATGAGAGAAAAACCGGAGGCGGTGATGGGCGGGGATGGAGGTGGCAGCGGAGAATGTGCCTCGGGAAAAAGGCCGACAAAGGAAGAGGGTGGGACGGCAAGTAAGAAAGCGAGGAGGCCCGGCGGTTTGACCATCCGCGAAGGACAAGCCACGGGTGGAGGAAGTTCGGCTGATCCAGGCGCTGCGGCCTCGACAGAACCTTCGGGGAAATCGAAACAGAAAGTGACAGCTGAAGAAGGCGATGGCGAGAAGAAAACTCGAACGCGGAAGACTGCTGAGGCGGCGAGCGGTGGCGAAGGGCCTGTCGGTAAGGAGTACGACGAAGCGGCAACGTTCTGGCTCGAATACGAGTGGAACGATGTCGGTGATATCGTGGAGAAGGAGCTCCCCGTCCAACTGCTCATCGACCCCAGGAAGGTCTGCGAGATCACGGCTTGGGAAAGATATTACAACCACCGCAGTCTAAGTCGCGAAACTGTGGACGACATCAAGGGTACGATGCTGAGTCAATTTCGCGAGAAAAAGGGAAAAATCTGGACGAAAAACCCTCTGGTTTTTGCACCCATCTACAAGCCGGTGACGCGTAGGCCGGAGAAAGCTGACAGGGTTCACAAAGATGTCTTCAAGCCAGAGGACACGGACAAGTACTACTATTACCCTGTTAACGGACAACACACCGTGGCTGCTGTGAAGGAGTTGGAGGGTGAGCCAATATTCAATTTGTGGAAGATGCACTCGTGGCCGGCGAGAGTAGTGTGGTTCTCCGACCGAGATTTCGCGGGGTATAGGCAGGTCAGTCTCAACGAGAACACGAGACACAACATGTCTAAGCAGCGATCGCAGAAGGCCGCGTTCTTGGACATGCGGGAGGCATGGGAGAATGAAGGAAGGTCGGTGGCCATTCAAGGGACCCTTCCGGCACGGAGGCCGAAAAACAAAAGTTCTTCGATTTCCAAAAGCTGATTTTGGAAAAGAGTCCGAACGGAGCTCACTGGACGTTGGCACAAAAAGATTCGTCGTTCCCCGACAAGGAGTATGTCGTTGCAGTTGGCAATGCATTGAGGCAGTGCATGCCGCTCGTGACGGCCGATGACGACGTTTTCCGCAAAGCCATGAAATTCTACACGAAAAGGGCGGAGGGGAAGTTGTTGGGCGGTGACGGCAAGACGCCATTGTCGAGGCCGGGCGAATACATGCCAAACAAATCTCCGGGTCTGTAAGCAATTCCGGAAATGGGCTCGAAAGGGGCGGCTAGTGAAATGAAGATGGGGTGGCTGGTCCAAGTCCCGCCGCCTCCGACCAAAAAGAAAACGCAAGCAGACGACAAGTTTTTCGTGGTCGTGAAGGAGCCAGACATATTCTGTTGGCAGTGTCTCGCGGACATGACCGATGCCGAGAAACTGTCGATCCTTGACGACATTCTCGCGCTAAGGGGAGTGTTCGTGCAATCCGCGGGCAGCCATCTGAAGCGTCAGCACAAACCAATAATTAAAGACATGGTCGCGACGAGGAAAGTGGACCGTGTGATGCTCCGTATGTTCCACTACATCTTGTTCCTTGAAACAGAGGAGGACGAACGCGTTTGGCGCCACAGGAGCCCTTTTTTTCGGACCGAGGGGAAGCTTCTGGAGGAGTATGGGCCGCAGGGCCTCACGAAACAGGTGTGGGTCGAAATGTGAAAGCATTTCTAGGGCGCGGTGGAGTACGTGAATACTTGCAAACGTACTTTTTCACACGAGAAGGAGTCCCTCGACGACGCGAAGAAATTCTACGATGATGACAGGTTCCCTAAATCTTTCGAAAAGTTTGTCCGTTCCATCTTGCGACGGACGGAAGAAGAAGTTCGAGACACGATCAGGGTCAGCGGGGATACGAGGCACATCAAATGGCCTAACCTCAACCGGGTGACCAGCCTTATTCCTTTCGCTTTTCCGCCTTCCCAAGCTCACAGTCATGTCACTGCGATCCGTGAGGTTGTGCGACATTACGTGTGCAACCTGTACGTCCTCAATTTGTGTGATCCCACACTCCTCACAGACTGGCGAGAAGACGATTTCGCCAACTTGCAAGGTCTTCTACAAACACTTTCGCCAACGCACTGGGAACTTGTGATCTTTTTCCCCTCTCGTTGGGAGCTAAGTTTCTTGAAAGGCATGGCCAGGCTTAGCGTCCATCACGTCAGGACAGGGAAGTGGGTACGTAATGCACAAAAGCAGGCCATTGTCCGGGAAGGCAATATGTTGATTGAGGAGTGTGACCCCCTGTACGTGATTTTTAATGGCGAGAAGCTGGAAGACAACACATTCGCAGTCTACCCGGCTAGTAGCCCGACAAAGGCTTCCCGTGCTCATGGTCCAAGTCCGGCCAAACACACGGTGGCGGGCCCATCAGGACAGGTTGTGGTGTGTTTCGACGTGGCGGAAGAGGAAAGGTTCTCTCGTAGCATGTGGGAGGACGGCGGCTTGACAAGTTCTCAAGGACCTGCTTACGGGGAGATGGAGCGGAACCCGTCCCGTCTACTAGGTCTACTCGTAAACTTTTGCAAAGCTGGTCAAACTGTTTTTTTCTTTGGGAAGGTGCATGCGTCTGTCGTGTGGGAACTTCTGCGCACCGGTCGGAACGTCGACGCGTTGGAGAAGGAGGCGAAGATGATCGATTACCTTCACGAGTTCGTGAAGGCACGCGTTGCAGACACTCGCAATGCTTGCGAGTTTGCCCGCACCACCGGCGAATGAAACTGAGATCCCAAACGTGACATGTATTGAAAATTGTCGGGGAACAAAAGGACGGACGTTTGGGACTTCCTTTTCGGACCCAGACTGCCTGGTCCAACCGACCTCGAATACAGTCGACGGAGAAACCTGGTGTTCGCTGTGCTCAATGGGTACCACAGTGCACCTAGGGAGTCTGTCTCGCACTTCCTGAGAAGGCTGGAGCACGTTTACTTCACGCTGGCCGAACCGCTCACTCTCGAAAACTACAAGTCACAATTTGACGAGGAGAACCCTTTCGACGTTGACGATATGGAGGAGCTGAGCGACTCCGAAACCTTCGATTTCGAGTCCATGCCACTTCCTTGGGTGGTTGGACTGGTTGGTGATGAAGAGGAAGGTGGCCCTCGGAGATATAGCACGTCCCCTGCCAGTTTGAAGCGTGTGTTTCGGGGCGAACCAGTCGACGACCAATCGTCTGATGACGGGGAGGAAGAGAGAGACTATGATCACGAACCTTGTGACAGGCTCCCTGTGGACCATGACACCTGGCAGAATGACAGACTCTACTTCTTCGGCAAGCATCACCGGTTCACGTCGGAGGATGTCTGGGGACGCAACGTCGTCTGGCACCCGAGGATATTCCAACCTGCTGTGAGGAATGGAATATGGGTCATGGCAATAAAGGAGGCCGATGGCAAGTGGAGCGGACTGAAGAGACTGGGAGCGGGTGCATTTAAGAGAAAGGCAAGAACTGCTCTGGTGGAGCATTTGAGTCTCATGAACCCCGAGAGGAACGATCAGGACGTCGATGCGTATGCAGAACAAAAGCTAAATGACTTGTACGCCACCAACATGTTGGAGTTTCGAGCGCCTTTCTACGCACTCGAAACGGCACCGTCTCGTGGCATTGACTGGCGCATGCCGCAACCTCCACCGACCGGTCAGAATCCGGGAGGGGGTGGTGGAGGAGACGAAGGAGACGGCGGAGGTGGCGGAGGAGACGGCTCACAGTTTGCCGGAAAGGGGACGGGCGAGACATCGTCGGTTGAGAAGGCGTCCGGCGGAAAGGGGTCGGGCGGGAAGGGGTCGGGCGGGAAGGGGTTGGGCGGGAAGGGGTCAGGCGGGAAGGGGTCGGGCGGAAAGTGTAGAACGTCCGGGAGTCCCCAGTATATGGAAACTGACCCCCAATGCGTAGGGAGTCGAGATTCCGACATGCGAGACGAGGCCACCCTGACGTCTGATCAAGTGAGAGTAGATTCGCACTTGTCTGCGAGGAGTTTGTTTCCCGTTGCCCAGGAGAGTCCATCCCGCCATGCGCAGCAGAGGTCTCCTGTGCTCAACACCTTGCTCCTGAAAAAGGGCGCGTCTTCGTTTTGCCTGGAGGGCGGGATGCCTGGATTGCGAAGGAGGGAAGGTGTGACCTCCGGTTCCCTCGGCTCGGGCGACCGCCACAAACTCCGAATACATTCGGATTTGCTGCCGTCGCCCTACGCCATAAGTGCTCCTCACGCAACAGTTCTGCGGGGCCAAGAAAATGTGACGTCCTGGCCCCCGCATCTTCAGTTGGACACAAGGTTACCCTGCTCGCCTCCTTTCTCATGTGTTCAGACTCGAGACTGGCGATCTCGCGATGTGCTGGAGGGGCCCGCTCCAGGAGTGTTGGAGATCGGGGGTAGCGAGAACGAACGTCACACTCCTGGGGAAGACGAGCGCTCTCCGGGAACGTGTGTTGTACATCAGGAAGAGGAGACTCAACGCTGGCAGTCTCGCAAAGTGTTGGAGACCGGGGGTAGTGAGTGTGAACGTCATGCTTCAGAGGGTGCGTCCGTGGACACTGACAGTGAGAGTGCAGGAGCTCCGGGGGAAACGCATGCTGTACAGCAGGGAGAGGAGACTCGACACGGGCCGACTCGTGAAGACGTGAAGTGGCTCAACGCACGAGCGCTGGTGATCGGGATGTTCGAAGAGGTTTTGCACAGTCGCTCGGCTGTGGTCACGACGCGAGAGGGTGTCGTTAAGGGAGGTAAGTGGACGTCCGTGCAAGCTCCCGTTCTTGGCGATGATGAAGACGAAGAAGAACCCGCGGTGGAAGCTCGGGTTCATGGCGATGAGAAAGACGGTGAGGTGACTGTCGACATCCGGACGGATCCACAGCGGAAAGATGGTGATTCTTTGCCCACCCATTGCGGTGAAGAACAGGGTGGTCGAGCGTCTGTCCTGAGCACCGCTCGGGGAATGGTGCTTCATGAAGCCATAAAGTTAGGTGACGACTCGGCAGCCACCGAGCTGGTTAGCGACTCAGGCGTGGCCGAGATGCAGAACGTCGAATCCTCCGTGGAAGGCGGTGAGGTGCTCGTCAACATCAACATGGATCCAGAGCGGAAAGATCATGATTCTCCGTCCACCCGTTGCGGTGCCGAACAGGGTGATCGAGCATCTGTCCTCAGTACCGGTCGGAAAATGGTGCTTCATGAACCCATCGACTTGCCAAGTGACTCGGCTGCCACCGAGCTGGTTAGCGACACAGCCGTGGCCGAGATCCAGAACCTCGAATCGTCCGTGGACGTTGGCCTCGTGGCGCGACAGGAGGGCGAGTTCCCTCAAAGGGCTCCCGAGCACGGTAAGATTTGTGAATAGGACCACTCGCATATCTGTCACTGGCCAGCTCTGTGTTCGTCCAAATTGATCTCATGGGCTAATGTACCTGTTACCACTAGTTAAAAAAAAGCTTGTGGGCTGTGGGTATTTTTCTATGTTCTACAGGTGTGAGGTTGTTAATGTCCCTGCCCATGAAGCCTTTAAAAGCCGTGCGCGAGAAACGTCTTTCAGGGAGGTCATTGGCCGCTTCACCGAAGAAGTCGTCAAGTGTAGGGTTGTTTAAAAGGGTCCAGATACCTCGCCTTTCCCAGAGAGCTGTCAGGGTTCTGAAGGCTTGTGGAATAGATAAGGAGGAAGGTTTGCGGAAAATTTTAGCTGCGTCTATTGAGAGCGTTACTGCTTTGTCTGACGGGTCTGATAACGATGGCAAACGGGGTGTCTTGAAAGACCTGTGTTCAATTCCGTTGAGCAGAAAAAGTCTTCAAACTCTTGTTCAGTGGGAATGGCTTCCCAACGAGGTGGTGGAGTCGTACTTGGCCTTGCTTGCCAACACTGCGTTGCCTGGGTGTCCCTCTCTTTACATTTTCAGTCCATTTTTCTATACCAAGATCGTCCGTGGCGGCTATCGACATGATAGGGTTGCGAGATGGACAAAAGATATGGATATTTTATCACACGAGATGGTCTTGATTCCTGTTCATAAACATGGAATGCATTGGACCCTATTGTGTCTCCGAGAACAACTGCTGGAGTACGACGACTCCCTCGTACAAGACGATGGTGGTTTTTCTTCCGATGTGATTGCGAACTTCACGCAATACCTCCGTGACGAAGCAGTTTGTCATTATGGTCCAAAAACGAAAGTGGATCTCCAGGAGCCCAAGGTTGTTGTTCGTGGTGTCCCTCAACAATCGGACGGGTCGAGCTGCGGTGTTTTCATGCTCGCCTTCGTTTCATTTCTTGCACGCGGCTTTCCGCTACCATTTCCGATAGCCCAAAGCGACATTCCAAACATCCAGCTGAGGATTGCGGTGGACATACTCCAAGGCGCTGAATGATACCACTGTTGTAAAAATACGCGTAGTTTTTTTTCCGAAATGACATAAGCAGAAGTGCGAATCTATTCCCACTTGATCTAGCAGTCAGTCGGTTCGAGCTGCGCTGTTGTTTTCATGAGGTGCCGGATTGCAGTGAACGTTTTGGTCAAGTACAGGCTTAGGTGTCGATGTGAATATCCCAGCCTCGTGCTGTATCAATTTTTTAAGGGTTCTTCATTTCGTGGAACCTGTCATCTTTACTCGTAAGACTTTTGGCAGCGCCGTGCTTCCTTTGTTTGTTTTCGGGTTGTTCTCATTGCTTTCCGCGCAACATCAGCTAGAGGGTAGCAGCGAACGGTTACGTGAAGTAGAAGCTTAGATGCCGATATAAATATCCCAGCCACGTGGTGCAGTTCCTTTTAAGTAGACGCTTACATATCGGATGTGAATATCCCAACTTTGTGCTCCTTTTGTTTATTTTCGGGTTGTTCTTCTTATGTCCTCTCAGACCGCGGCAGCACCGTGCTGCATTTGTTCGTTTCGAGGTTGTGCTCCTCTTTTACTCATGTGAACGATATCGACGGTTTATTATTGGTTGCCAAATTGTTTCGTGCTTATCTCTTTCGTTCACGAGACTTTGTGGTGTGAAAGCCCCTCTCCCCCGCCCCAACCTGACCACCCAGCTTTCATATGTTTTGGCTCGTCCTTGTTCTGCGTATGTCGCCCCGTTTTACGGTTCACCCCCTCTGCTTGTCTCGATTGAATGCTGTCAGTTGGTTCCTTATGACAGTTGCGAACTTATTCTCCATTCAGAAACCAATTGTCACCAGAATGTATGAGTGTTTGAAGTTGTTTTACGGATTCAGCGGTGCACTGATTGATCACCAATTTTGTTATCCCCGGAATACATCTTGTGCTCTCCACGAAATGCTGGTTGTTGTTTCCGTATGAGAAATGCGAACATATTCGCACTTCGGATGTCGTACATTTGTGATTGAACTGTAGGTTCCATGTGAGAAATGAGAACATATTCGCACTTTGACTCCATGTACTTTGTGATATTTAGAAAGTCTCCATGCACTTTGCAATGTGGGATTGTATGATATTTCGCGTTCCATGACTTTTTGAAACGTCTCTGTGTGCTTTGCAATTTGCCCTCGAATGAATTTCCTGCATTAAATGGTTTCTGGTACCTGTTCGTGTGCTGTGACACTTCACCTTTGGAAAAACATTAGGCAACTTGAGATGTCTTCACCTCGATGTTTGCGATGTCTCTGTGTGCTTTGCAATTTGACTTGTGCTTGAAGTTGTTTAACGGATTCAGCGGTGCACTAAATGATTGCCAATTTTGTTATCCCCAGAATACATCTAGTGCTCTGCACTGGATGCTGGTTGTTGTTTCCATATGAGAAATGCGAACATATTTCCACTTTGGATGTCGTGCATTTGTGATTGAACTGTTGGTTTCATATGGGAAATGAAAACATATTCGCACTTTGGCTCCATGTACTTTGTGATTTTTGGAAATCCTCCGTGCACTTTACAATGTGGCATTGTATGATATTTTGCGTTCAATTTGGAAAGTCTCTGTGCTTTGCAATTTGCCCTTCAATGAATTTTCTGCATAGAATGGTTTCTGGAAACTGATCGTCTGCTCTGAGACTTCAGCTTTGGAAAAACAGTGCGCAACTTGAGATGTTTGTGATGTCTCTATGTGCTTTGCAATTTGACTTCAGATGTTTTCATCTCGATGTTTGCGATGACAAGAGATACTTGTATGAATGGATATGAATCTTCTACACAGAAAGATTTGATGGCGTTTTCAACCTGTGATATAGAAATGACAAGCCAATGTCCATATTAAATCGTCGCGCTGATGGACTGCGCAACTGCTTCTCCATCAAAGTGCGAGTTCAATCGCACTTCTGGTGTGAGCCCTTAGCAATTCCCTCGCACTTTGCTTCACGCCGAGGAGGGGATCGAACGCACCGCCTGTAAGCACCTGCACATCACGAAACAAGAGCATGTCCCAATTGGAACATCGTCGGGTCCTCACCTCATCGACTCTCAAGATGACTACAGCCAACAGCGATAGGACGGCAGGTCCGCCTATCCGATGTGGATCTCACGGTGGAGTGCGAAACTCTGCTCTCAAAGATCCACACCGGGTAGAAGGTCCTGCAAGTAGCCGTTGCTTGCTTGTAAGACACCTTATGATATGTCGATATAACCGACATCCAGAACTGCTTGGTGAGCATCTAGTGCTACGCCAATAAGTTTCAAACACGGCAGCAAAGTCCCCTAAGAGTGTTCTTTGCCGGGTCCTCACCACATCGACTCTCAAGATGACTACAGCCAACAGCGGTAGGATGGCAGGTCCGCCTACCCGATGTGGATCTCACGGTGGAGTGCGAAACTCTGCTCTCAAAGATCCACACCGGGTAGAAGGTCCTTCAAGCAGCCGGTGCTTGCTTGTAAGGCATCTTATGATGTGTCTATATGACAGACATCCAGAACTGCTTAGTGCGCATCTAGTGCTACACCAATATTTTCCAAACACGGCACCAAAGTCCCCTGACAGTGTTCTTTGCCGAGACCTCACCTCGTCGACTCCCTCAAGATGACTACAGCTGACAGCGGTAGGATGGCAGGTCCACCTATCCGATGTGGATCTCACGGTAGAGTGCGAAACTCTGCTCTCAAAGATCCACACTGGGTAGAAGGTTCTGCAAGCAGCCGCTGCTTGGTTGTTAGGCATCGTATGATTTGTCGATATAACCGACATCCAGAACTCCTTGGTGAGCATCTAGTGCTACACCAATAAGTTCCAAAAACATGGCAGCAAAGTCCACTGAGAGTTTTTTTTGTCGGGTCCTCACCTCATCGACTCCCTCAAGATGACTACAGCTAACAGCGGTAGGATGGCAGGTCCACCTATCCGACGTGGATCTCACGGTGGAGTGCGAAACTCTGCTCTCAAAGATCCATACCGGATAGAAGGTCCTGCAAGCAGCCGCTGCTTGCTTGTAAGGCATCTTATGATGTGTCGATATAACCGACATCCAGAACTGCTTGGTGAGCATCTAGTGCCACGCCAATATGTTCTGAACACGACCGCAAGGTCCCCTAAGAATGCTTTTGGCACTAGAGTCCTCTGACCGCCGACTGTTTGACACTTCGTGAAGGTTGACACTTTTTGAAGGTGGCCTACCACTTCTTAAAGGTGGTCAGTCACCAAACAGATCACGACCTGACATCGACCTCGATAACTGCGAATTGACTCGCTGTTCAACTAGAGTCTCTCTCTCTCTCTCTCTCTCTCTCTCTCTCTCTCT